ACACATAATATATATATTCTGCATGTATATATACAGAATATACATATATATATATATGTACACACACACACTTTTTTCTTTTTCTTTTTTTTTCTGATACAGCTGATTATTCTCCTTTTCCAAAATTGCTTTCATTACAATTAATGAAAGTTTATTTAGAAATGATCATCCTACTTCCTGGAATGAAGGTAAGGCCATGTGTTTCAGCAAGGAAAGTCACTACCTGAACAATCCTGAAGAGATGAATGCAGCATTTTAGAGGCACATCAATTGTTCCCACTAATTCTCAAACTCCAAAGCCAGAAGGAACTCTAAACACTTACCAGTGAAGACACAGGACAAGTATTTACAAGAACATTTTTTTACAAAATTAGATTCCTGATCTCCTCACAGTAAATCACTTGCTGAAATCTTAGTTTCTGTATCTGTAAAACAGGGATGATAACATTCACTTTGGTTTCTTTGAATACAAATCGTTTGGAATGCCCATTTTTCCTTGGGAGGATGTTGGGAGAGGTAGTGCTGTTTAAGAACCTTTTAGATCTGCAGCAGTTAACTTTGTGAGCTCATGTGGGTTTCCAGTAACACACAAGACTCACATGCCTTGTCCAACCTGTCCCATTTCTTCATGTCCAGTTCCTTCCTTCTGGAAAGTGCAGCACTGGTGCCACCAGAATCCCCCCACTGACAGGCAGGCAAACACAGCACCAGTGTGAAGATGTTCTACCTGTATTATCCATCTAGAACTCTAATCACAGCTTAGAAAAATTTCTCAGTCCTTTACATTTTGTTATTTATAAATACAAAGGAAACAACAGTTCTTCATCGTTCACAACAGGCTGTTCTGGGCTTTGAACACTAACTGTGGCTGACCTGGCAGATACAGCAGCCAGCTCAAAACAAAGGGATCACCTGCAGTATCTGCAGGATCCTGAGAACATCTGAGAAAAGAAAATAGCTTCATAATTTGCTGAACTTCACAAGTGCCATGATTGGGTGAGCCAAGCTTGTTTCTTCAAGAAAAACATAAAACATAAGGAAGTGCCACAAACACTTGGAAGTGTGTCTAGACATGCGTTACCCAGGGCTGCACTGCCAGTTCCACATTACAGACATTAAACTGTGCTGCAGAGTTTGCTGCTCTCCAGCAGACCTAAAGGTGTCACTGTGCTCTGAACAGTTTCAGATCTTGTCCAGCTAGGCACCTTCACATTAGTATTCAAATAACAGAGAGATTTATAACAATAATTGTAATAGACAGTTATGTTAAACAGTAGATCAGTAGACCATTTAAATATATATTTTGCTTCAAGCAAGGATGTAGTATTACTGAAATCAGTGGTTTATTGGACCCCCCGGGACCAGCCCATGTGCTGAGGTCAGAGCTGGGGCCTCAGTTCATTGTAGATATTCACCCTGCCTTATCTACAGGAGAGAAATTCCCTCACAGCTGAGAAATCCAAATGGCTCCTCATTATACATCTTCTTACATTAAATACCTTCTCTGAAGGTGTCTTCTACTAGCTCAGGTAACAAAGAAAGTATCATGTAAATTAGTGGTGACAACATAATAACAATGATAGAACTTCACAGGTTTTCTTTAATAAAGGAAAAAAAAAACTTTTAAACTACTGTTAAAACCCAATATTTGAAATGAATTGCCAATGGCAATAATAGAGAATTCAAGTTAATATCCTGATTTCTCATCCTACAATTGGAGTAAAGAGGCATGAGATACCAGAAGGATAGTATGCATCACCTTCAGGAAAACAGGCAACACACTCCTTTTAACAGCTCTTCTGCTGAACAGAGGGGGCAGGACAGGGAAACTTGACCTACAATCTGTGTCAAAAACAAATTCTTGAGAAATAAAAAAAGCCTCTCAAAAGCAAACAAGAAGGAAAATAATTTCAGAACTCTAAGAAGGGCTAGAAATGAGAAAAGAAACAGAAATGAAGAAAGATGTATTAAAAACATGGCATCACCTCCTTAATACATCACTAAGTGTTTTGACTTGCCAGCTGTAAATATCTGCAGCTTCTCCATTTCCACTGGTACACAAGATGGGAAAAGGCTGAGACTGTAGCACCACTCAGGGCTGGTTTCTGGCCTTGCTGACCAGGCACAGGGCGAGTGCTGCAGAGGTGAACTCAGTTTAATAGGTTGCTACTTACAGGCTTAGGCTGATTTACAGGTGTTTGTCCTGAAATATGACCATCCATGTACTCACTGCTAATCCTTTCCCTAACAAGCCTCCTCCCTCTCTGAAATCCTCCAGCTTTGATAGATAGCTATTTTTGCACACCAAAAAGCAACATCTCCCTCTAAATCTCCTCCCACAGGAAGGGCAGTCTGACTATCACACACCCAACACGCTGTCTGGTGCAGCACAACACCAAACCCTTGGCTTTGACACAGTGGGTGTCAGCCGTCTGCATGTGACAGTAATAACAAGGATGTCACAGGGAGAGCAGCACAGATCTTGCATCTTTGCAGCCTGGCAGAAAACCTCCTCCTGTTGGCAACATAAGGCCCACAAAGTAGAGTTGAGTGCCTACTGTTGTGTCCTGGGGAGCAGAATTTCCCATTTTCTCTCCTGAAGGCTTTTCTTAGTCTTACATCTGTGACCCTTTTTCTGCAATTGAGTTTCCATCCAGGTTGTAACCCAGTTTTGGATCCCAGCACACTGCTCAAAACCCAGCCTGGTGGAGGGAGCTGCAGCACTGTGACATTCCATGCCTGGTGAATCAGTTTCTACTCCTGCACATCCATTCCAGCACCATGGTAATGATTTGCAGACATACATGAGATTAAGGTTCACAGTCTTTGTAATCTAAACACAAAAAAATTATCTTCAGATTGAAAGTAAATTTACAAAAGTAGATAACCTTTTTTTCCTTAAGTAATATATCATATAGGTTCTCAATGCACTGCATTCATCTGTCTCTTAGCTGAGTATGCCATCTAGACATCTACCACTCACAGCAAAATACAGATTCTAGGAGCTCAAGGCTATGTCAAGTCTCACATATAGAGCATAAGCCTGGGTACTCTTGCTGAAATCCTTTGCTCCATACAGAGCCTGCATTTCAGCTACTTTGAAGCACAGATTCCCTCTCTTTTTCTCTCTCGTGCTTTTCACATGGCAGATGAGATGGGTTGTTGGGTCATGATGTGCTCCACAGCTTTGCCAGGTTCCTGGGCACACTGTGGGATAATGAATCACAAGCAGGAAAACTGCTGCTGGAAGGCACGAGCCTAGTGCTAGGGGCCTTTCCCATCACATGGACCAATGGTACACACAACCTACCCGGGCAACAGGATGTCAGCCAGCCCAGTTTATCCCATAACTTAGAGAATCAAATGCAAAGTCACAAGCCTCCCACTTTTTAACCCTAAAAAGTCCAGGAAAGGCCTAGAAATGTTTATAGTCTTTCCAAGCAGCCAAGTGAAACACATAAAGCCAAACTACAGGAGTTAGAGATGAAACTGGAGAAAAATCCATAGGAAACCTGAGTTCCAAAACAGCTGAGAAAATTCACCTACTGCTGCAAATCAATCACACTGGAGGCCATGACATTGCAGGAACAATCCCATCCAGGATTTCTCACTTCTTTTCAGTACTACAGAACCAACACGTCCAGTAAAAATTGACAATGACTTTAAGTGCTGATGGTGCAGGGATCCCATTCCCTGAAGCACGAAGTACAAGGGACTCTTCATATGCTTCAGTTTCCTCTTCACCACTCCTATTCCTGGTTTTACAAGAACAAAGCTTTGAGGTATCTGGGTGCATATCAACATACCACAGACTGTCCTCCAATTTCTTCCCCAGGACACACAGCAGCATATTTGTATTTCTGCCCTGGTTAGTTTGCCCAAAGGCTTCCTCTTTCAATCTCCTCCTGGCTTTCTCTGATATGTCCTTGCTACGTGTGCAGTTCTCTATTCTTGCTTCTTTCTGCTCCAAGTCTGCAGAGCACTTACTCGTTGGTTACTTAAAATCTGAATAAATTAGGTCAAAAAGCCTGCTTAATCTGATGTGGCTTGTTTCACATTAAAAAAAAAAGAGTGAAATTGAAAACCACCTTATTGTTCTCTATTGAAATGCTGCATCCCTATTAGTTCAGGTGTATAAATAACGCTCTCTAATGCTGCATCAAGGGCTCTGCTGTGTGATTAAACCTGCTTCCCTGACCTGTAATTAGAAACTTTGCCTCTGAAAGTCAGTTTGCAGAGGGAAAAAAAAAGGAGAAAAAGAGAGGGAACTAGCTCTCAAACCCAACAATTTTGTTCTTAATAAATTATTCAGCATTTTTGAAAGTTGAGCTGGATTTCCATCTGCTAGCATTGACAAACCAAAAAGAAGTAGAATTGAAGGATTCTGACCACACAGTACAACGGTACAGAGCATGGGGCTGGAAATAAGAAGCCAGCTGAGAAGTTCAATGTGTCCTCTCCACCTGTCCCTGTTCAGGTATTGCCATTGAATACTTGGATATCTGACAGGTCTTGGACTAATGCAGAGTGACCCTCCACTAGAGTCACACTGAATTACAGCTGTGTTTGGGATACAAAATCAGAAGTAAAACCCCAATATTCAGTAAATCACTTCTTAGTGTCAGCAGAACCAGACTACGAACACATGAAATTGATGCTGATGGTCTGAGTTGAGAAACAATATAGAGACCAGACTGCACAGTCACACATAAGCAATATGTAGCCTTTTCAAGTCAAGTAATTTAAAGATGAATTCATTAATGATTTAAGCTGATCTTTTGCCCCGAGGCTATTTAGACAGTATAAACTATACTACTGTTAATGTTGGTAGTCACTGCTAGTTGCAATCCCAAGGGTACACCTAAAGATGTAAGGTGAACTTCTCACTTGGAAATGGGGAGATAGTGATGTCTTTTTGTCCCGCAGTCACAATAAGAAAAACTATTAATTCAACCACATGTAGACTCATTTTAACAACAGCAACAAAGACCAAGCAAAATATTTCAGTTGCTACAATGAATATTAGCAATCTTTCCATAAAATGGAAACAGAACAAGCTTTAGATCACCGTATAACACAAGAACTGGCCTGAGGACGAGAAGTCTCTGGCCTTGGGTATTTAGCAGCTGTTTCCAGAGTTCTGCTTGATTTCAGATCAGAGAGATTTTGTAGCAAATTCCTGCTCTGGTTACGCCTGTAGTCTTTGTGTTGAGGGTGTGACTGGCATTACAGTTTCACTCTTCTTTGTCTTCAGGCTCAAGTTTGCCAGGCTTTACATGGGGTGAATCTGAAGTCCGGTGATTTTGTGTATAATTATTTTTCTAGGAACCTTACAGTATGGATCCAGGGTTTCAGGGAAACCTTATATATTAAAATATCAAGTTCAAGGGGACTTACACATGAGAGGAGAAACCTATTATTTACATATCAAGGACCCTTTGGTCAATTCCACAATGCCTGCTATCTTCTACTGTAGTTTAGATGTGCACAATTTTATCACAAAAAACACAGTGAATCTACTCAACTATTAAACTGCCCTGGAGGAAGTTCTTTATTCCAGATTGCCCAAGTTTATAGATGTGTGATGCACAGAGCCGTGGAGACCACAGCTGTGGGGTAAGGGTGATGTACTCTATGAAACAAAAGAGCCCTTCAAACTTAATAATAATGGCAACTTTAAGTAATCTGTTCGCTTGTAATGTGGTGGGGTCCAAGTTTATCACAGAACATAAATCTCATACACAGTACTTTGGATTAGATAGTGCAGCAGAAAGAGCTTTGCTGGGACATTGTGACAAGTTTTATGAACTTTTTAAAGAAACAGAACGTGGAAATACTAGCAGTGTTGTTAGGTTATTGCTTAGTAAGCTTCAACATCCAGTACTAAGATGGAAAGAAGAGAATCTAATAACTTCAGAAAATAGAGTAGTACTTTAAACCTATTAAGGCTCCTTTGTTTTTTAACAGCACTAAGTCAGTACTTAAAAGCTGGGCCCTGTGAAGCCAGGACACTCACCTTCCTCAATCCAACCATGGGCTACCCTCTCCCCCATTTTTACAAATCCTCAGAATAAATCCAGTCTCACCCCACTTCCATTTACTCTAAGGGCCTCCCTCATTTTTTAACACTTCCCCCTGCTTCACAAATGCCTCATGTGCCACTTTTTCCAAATCCCTCTCTCAGCATCCCCTCTATCACCTGAGGTACACACGTGCCCACAAGCAGGCTGCACATGGGTTGGTGTGATGCCCACTTCTCCCCTTCAGGAATGCTCTTCCCACTCTCCTTGAGAATCCTTCATTCCTTCCTACAACAGCAACACAGTGCCCCATCTACCTCCTCTCAATGTCACTATCAGCATTTCCATGCATACCTTCACTACTGCTGTAGCAGGGTACTCTCATAGTAGAGCTGTTGCATGTCCACCATCCTTTCCTCCATCCCGAATTTCAGATCTGTTTTCCTTCAGTTTTGCACAGATTGCATACAAGCTCTGTATTATTTATCTAGCTACAGATATTTCAGTGATGTGATAACTTCAGTTCTTAGAGAGGAAAAAAAAATGTATTGGTATGCCAGGGCCACAAATGAGTGCACGTACTCAATTACTTGATCTACAAATGTAGTGATATCTAAATTGCTGCCAGAACCTCGTTTTTCCATGTTGCTTTCTACTGTTTTCCCAGAGTAGTGGTAATCTCCCACAGTAATAATAGGAATTACCTGAATTTTTACAATTGATCAGATGGAGTATTTTCAAGTTGTCATGTTTCATAAAGTCAGGAAGAAATAATGTCCAGATCAGAACATGGTTTCACGTGTTTAGCCTTAAACATCATGAAAATCAATGTGATCATTTCGTCCTTCAAACCCTGAGCTGCATGAACCACAGTGGGATAACCTTCAGATGGCATGCTGATATCCTGGGAAAAGGAAGTTTTATGTGAGGTTTTCTTGGTGACATACTAAATGACTTCCAAATATCAGAATAATAGAAAAGGTAGATCCAATGGTTTCCAATTTACCAGACTCCAAACTAACATATGGCACTACATTGAAAAATCACCTTCAAAAAATAAAATAAAAAATTGTTCTTAATAATTACATCTAACGAGTCTGAAGAACATCATCTCTGTTCCTCAGCACAAATACTTTTCTAGCTTCCAGAATGCAAAGAGAGTTCTGAAAAATCAAGCTGGATTTCTGTGCATCAAGTGAGTCAGAAAGTAGCATTTCTGCATAGAGGCTTTGCAAATGTGATTGAAATCTGAAGCACAGCACTGTGCTCTGTGGGACATATCTGACCCATACACTGCCTTTCAACTCAGCATTTTCTAAATCACATACATTATGGTTGAATAGGAAGAAAATGTGTAAACAAGAACATAAAAGATCACTGTGAATTCATTAAATCTGATAAGCTTTAAATTGAAGTGCATGAATTCCATTCTCTGAACACCAGGATAAATTTGAAGAATCTCTATTGACTTAACTTGCACTGATATGCATTACAATAGTTTCTGGTGCATTCCAAATAATTATTACAGCAATATTCAAGACCAGAAGGCACCTACTTTCCATTTGGATAACTAAACAAAGGCCAGACTTACAAAAAAAGTCCACCATATGACAGAAAAAATAATAATCTGGATTTATTTTTAGAGGTGGTGCAGAGGTGTGGCTATAGGGCCCACTCAGTTTGGGTCTGGCTTTAAGAAGCAGTGGGAACAGAGCATGACTGTTGTCCTCCTGTTTCTTACAGAAGAAAAAGATCAAATGTATATCAGGAGACAGAACGATTTGAAGAACTTTGTCAGATGAACATTCAGAGTGGTACTGATGCACTGCAGAGCTCCTTTGCTTAGAGGTTTCCTCATAGGTTGTAAGGAATCAAGGAATCCAAATCGTTATCTTTCTTTGATATCTTTCTACTCAAAGACACGGATTGCTTAGGAAGTCTTTACCCTGTGGTTAGGATGCTGTTCATTAGCTTTCTTGGAAGTTAAAAAAACCATTTTTCTCCTTCCAGGGCCAAAAATGAATCCCTAATGCTTTAATGACTAGTAAGATTCTAAATCAATAACAGAGAAAGACATTGCAATGAAAGAAGGGACCTAAGAAAACTGGGGTGTGGAGGAATTACAAATATGTAAAATAAAAGTCACTGAAGCAGCTCAGTCAAGTCAGTTTTTCTGCAAGAAAGCGCCTCTAAAGTGATGCCCTTAAAATAAACCGCTAGGGCTGTCCAAAAAATGATCAAGCAAAATGTCTTGAGAGCTCCTCCTGCCGGCTGTTTTCTTAGCAGTCCAAGCCCTTGTCAACAGATCCAATTTGGGGTTTGTCTTTTTAAGAAGCAGGAAATCATGGAAGGCAAAACTAATAAACGTTTCTTTTATTTGTCACAGCAATAAACCAGCATGACTTCCCAGCATCTCCTGTACTACAGCCACTTGCTCTCTAACTTTCCAGATAGAGATGCTTTGCCAGCAGACTGAGGTCAGTGCTGGGAGTGGGGCTGTGTGGGAGCTGCAGAGGAGCACAAGGTAAGCCTGGCACACAGGCAGAGACCTCAGCAGTAGGCACAGTGTGGAAACAAGAGTGAAGCATGTCTGGTAAGAGTAACCAAGTTTAACCAGGAGAAGCATCAAACGAGCCTGCAGATTCGAGGCCAAGCCAGAAAGTCAAGTCAGCAAGTCAAAATTAGGAAGGGCAATGCTTGGACACACCTACAGCCTACCCCAGACAAGGACAGCTCTGTGTCTCAGCTCTCAAGGAAAGTGGAGAGGCCCCAGCAGACTATTCTCAGCACTCTGGTCCCAGGATACGCCCACCATATCAAGGCAGACCTTGAACACATGCAGCCAGACCTGCAGGAGCTTGCAGAGTTGGCTGGTGCATGCAGGGCCCTGACAACACACTGCCCAGCACAGTCAGTAAAGAACATAAAAATTATGTGAAGTGCTGACAAGAACCTGGGTACAAATGTACCACAGGGGTTGGCAGTGTGAAAGGCTGACAGTGTGTACTTCAGGTGTTTCAGTGCCTGGACAGGACTGACCTTTTTGTAGGGCATTGTGTGCTTGCTTTTGTTTTGCCAATCTGCTGGGGAACATTTCTTTCAGAGCCAGAATAATTTTTAAATTACCACTGGGATGTAATAACAAAACCCCTCCAAGTTTTTCACCTACCATTTAAAAAATAAACGTAAAGTAATCCCGGCTTCTCAGGAGAAACCCACCCACATACATCTGTGACATTTTGACTGCTCAGTTTTTTGGCCAAACTATGCCCCAAAAGAAGAAAGCAGATGAGACGTACTGGCAGCTCCTTTCCTGCCTTCTCACTGGTGACATTTGCTGTAACCCTGCATTGGCTATCTCTTGCAGGTTTGTGCACGAACCCAAACTCCCAATGCTGCCTGCATGAGGCAGAACATCCTGAGGTTACAAAGCTCAAGTGGCAAGTGCAAACTATCTTTCCAAAAAGAAGCTTGTTGAATCAACAGGAAGAAGAATAACCCTTTCGAAAAGGTTGGCCATGATTATCTTATAGAGTTACAACAGGAAGAATCAAAGGCAGACACTGAGGGGAAGGGAAACAATATGAGGAGAGTATCCTGGTAGTGTTCCCAGCTGGACTGACACTGATACACTGTTTAGATAAAGGTAAGCTGCTCTGCAAAGACTGTGTGACTAGAGAAGAGAGCAATGGTTTGCTAGAAAAAGAACATTCTTTATCAATACATTTATCAATGATAAAAAACAGCTCCAGATTATGTGAGCTATTTTGGGGGAAAAAAAAAAAAGTCACATATATGACAGGGACCTGTAATTCTGCTAAGTTGGCCAGGGAGATATTTTGTCTCCTTCTGTATAGAGTACTGAATGTATACTGGACTTAATAAATGTGGTTTCTCTGCCAAGCAATTGTATTTCTGCACTTTATATTTCCAGTGTGAAAAAATTAATGAAACATTTTAAACCAAAGCCGTTTCCTTGGAGCCTCCTCTGACCTTCTTTTCCTCCTCTCTCAGCTGAATCTCCCTGGCAGGATGAATTCAGACCTGATGTCTGCTCCTCCCACCAGGCTTTTGGATATGTGACAATAACCCAGTCACTGGGAGCTGTGCCTGCTGGTGTCCATTGTCCTGTGTCCAGTTTAAGAAAAAGCCCGGAATGAAATTTATGAAGAATAAAGTGATTTACAGGAATGGTCGAAGGTTGCTTCTGCACACATCTATCAGCAGCTTGTGAGTCCTTAGAAATTAACACACAAGGCTGAAGCATGGGAATGATTCGAGGCTCACCAACAGACTCTCAAAAGTTTAAAAAAAAAAAAATAAATCTGAAATAAAGCACCAATCTCAAACTGCTACAATCCTGTGGAACAGCTAGAGCTGTGGTAAGAAATCAAGGTGTGCCTGTGGGGAACTGCCCCAAACCTGCCAGGCAGAGCCTGTTACATTCTCCAGCAGAGAACTGACAGGCACAAAGAAGGGATATGCACTAAAAAGAGGAACTGCTGGCTGTGCTCTGTGGAAGGCATCACTTCAGCCACAGACTGCAGCCGCTGTCGAGTACAGCCTACAACTACATCAAGTTACCTAAGCCCTAGTAAAAGGAAATGAGACACACACCATCCAAGAAAGCCAATACCCATAAAGCAGGTTGCATTGTCCATGGTGGAACAGGAGTGGGTCTGTGGGACAGGGGATACAAGCCAGCAACCAGGTACAAGGCTCCAAATAACCCAGCAGTGATGCTTACAGGATGGTAGGGGGTTACCAGAAGGAAATTCACATGCCTTCTTTGCAGACAGGGATTATCTGTGGGATATTATATGCCCACACCCCATAGTGTTACCTGCTTCCCTCTTTCAGTGGTATCATATATACTGCCTGCTCTGTGCATTTTAGATACATAAACAAATACAGATCTAGGTAGCAAGTAAAACTGCTTTCTTTATTAGCTTATCCCACAATCACACTGCAAATAGTGTTCAAAAACCTTTGCAGATATTTATCCAACTCCCACCTTAAATCAGCACTTTACTTAACAAATGCTTTCATTTGAAGACCAGCTCCCTGATAGGAATTCACAACTAGCACTGAACCCTTTATCTACAAACTTTTAACATTTCTTCTGCCCTGTCCCCCTTTCCATCAGTGTTCTGCAATATTTGCCAGCCTCCTTTATGTCTCAGTTATGTGTTCACAATGTGAGGCAGGCAGACTCATGTGCCCACAAACAGAAAAAGCTCCTCCAGCTCACAATAACTCAGCAGGTTTCTGTGATTTTCAGAGACTGCATTACTGTGTGCCCATGTCTGCTGTCAAATTACTGCCTAGATGCAGGCGCCATGGCTAACCTCAGCCTTACCCCAAACACAAAACTGTCCCTAAGCCCTCAGAAACATCCATCTTCTCTTTCAGCACCACTTACAGCCCGGCTGATGTTTCTAAGAAATAAAGAGCATGTTTACCTCTCTGAAAACTTATTATGGTTTTATGTCCTTTTTCTGCAACCTCCTGAGAGCGACCGTACTCTGCATCATGAAGTTAAAACGTATCAAAACAGATCTGAAAAACGGATAGTCTTCCTGACATTTCTAAAGGAAAACAGAGATAAAGTCATAAAAAACAATCCTTCACATACAGCAGAGGTCAAAAAATAAAGTCTAAACTTAAGTTTGTTTTTATCTTTAGCATAAGTCCCATGACTTCTCTAACTCTTAGCTGCTTGCCTCAGGCCCTGGCTGTAGCACTACAGCAGCAAGGAAAAAACCCAGAGCATAGATACTGTGACCTCAGCCATGTTCCCTTAAAACCCTCACCCTCCCCTGGTCCATAATAATAGAAAGCTGTTCCTGGAGCTGCTACAGGGGAAGCAGCTATTTCCGTGTCATGTCTTGCCTTAAATACCTGTACGTAGTGAAGATGGCATACAGAGATCATACAAACCTATAATTGAGGCAGGATTTTCTCCAGTCATAGACAGACATTGCTGCCTGCAACTGCTGTTGTCTGCTTCGACCTTCTCCTCGAGGTGTCTCCACCTCCTATCACAATGGCACAGCAAAAAAAAAGTTCCATGGTGGTCTGCAAAGCAGTGAAAGAAGCAAATGGAAAGACAGAACTGACATTGTTTATATGCTATAAAGTGAATTCCAAACCAACAAATTGAAAGAATGAACACAAAAAGCAGATAAAAACAGTAACTATGACTATAACTAGAACATATGACATAACTATGACCACCAATAAGACCAGGCTACTTAATAGCACACATGCATACATGAAGGATCGCAAATTCTCAACACCTCTAAGAAAAAGATACCCCTATTATTCAGCGTTTTACAGGAAAAATGATGCATCAGGTATTCATAGGACTTGTCAAAGTAAGTGAAAATTTACCATCATATAAAACAGAATCGAGGCTTTTAAATCCTTGATACTCAGTTAAGTGCATTACTTTAAAGCAGCTCTTGGATTGGATGAGAAGGAACACTAACACAGAGAGAAACATGCGTTCTACATCTAACACAAGATTTTCCTACTGGAATGGCAATAAGGATACTCTGCAGCCTTTGGTTTCCTCTGCTGCCATGAAGCCTGCGTCCTCCTGACTATGCTGGTAGCCAGGATAACCCCCAATCCATATTCTATGGCCAGTGCATGCTGAGGGAGGTAAAGATAACAAAGGCTATGACAGAACTCTATCAGGGAAGTCCTTTCGGGCCCCATTTCCATCAGCTCATAAAAGGAACAGCCTGGACCCACATGCTGAGCCCTGCTAAGGCTGCTCCAGGCTGCAGCTCTTCATTTGCAAAAGAAATGACCCATTCATTTCTCCCTGACCTCTGCAGGCACTTCAGGCTGCCGGCCCCCACCGCTCCTCAAACAGGTGCTCAGGGACTCCAACCTCGGTCTTCCCAGGCAAGCTGACCTAATGCAGCTTCAAGATCCTTACGCTGGGGCTCCAGGAGGGTTGTGTGCATACGCTGGGAACGTTTACCCCTCAAAGCATTTATTTCCAATCTAGAAAATCAGAGACCATATGAAAAGGAGATACAAATGACACGGTGTAGCCTTAACTGAAGTTGAATAAATAAACAAATGCAAATCTGCTTGTGTGCACTTGCACACCACTGCACAAGTGATCTGTTCCCTGCAACTGCTGACAGCTGCATTTTGCAGCTGCACTTCATATTGTCTCGTGGTTGCACAAGCAGGTCCTGTGGTTCCTGTAAAGAACTGGCTGGCTTCTGTCATGACTGGGGCATGTTTTGCCTCTGCAATAGATTTCCAGATTTGATTTTGTGTTGATGAGTGAACAATGACCACAAAACTTCAGCAGGGAAATCCACATACTTGTATTGCATTCCAAGAAAAAGACAGATCTCTTCAGACATGCACATCATCCAGAGTCACCTTACAACTCAGCCTGAAAACCGAGAGCATCACAATCCATATCTTTTGTTCTCAACAGCCCCGTCCTGGAAAGATGATGCTGTTTCACAGCTAGGCACAGGGCAGCCTCTTGTCAAAGGCCATAAAGGCCCTCGTGGCTGAACTGGAAACTCAGTGCTGATTTTAAGTCCAAGTTCAGAGACCCTTTCACCGCACTAATCTCTAAACTACATTTTTCTACTTTGCAGACAGCCTCCAAAGAATGCACAATTATCAGAATGAACACAACCATCTTAATAAGTAAGCTGGTTTGGAAGCTGACTTGTTTTTAGTGCCACTTACGCACAAGCTCTGTTACTGGAAGAGGAGTCCTGTGATTCAGAACCCGAAGTCTGATGCAATTGGGCGTTTCAAGCTGCTTTCCCCAGCAGAGAACAACCCTATTAGTTTGAGAAAGTCCCCTGCTTGCTTTCTCTCTGAGTAATTAAGAGAGAAATCCTCCTCTCAGTGACCCCAATGCTCTCAGCCTGGGCTGATTTACACATGAAAGGCCCCCTCTGAGGGGCTTTCTCCCTTTCACATTCACAACCAGGCAGGACCTATAAATAAAACCTTTCTGAAAACAGGAGCTTTCAAAAAGGTCTGTGTATATGCGTAAACGTGTATGAGAGAAAGGGAATGGATGTGTGCACTTGAGAATGCGTGTGTTTGCATGCATATGGGAAGAGCGGATGAGCAGAATGTGCATTCACACGCTAGCCCACATGCAAACAAGTGTACTTGGAAAAGCATCTACACGGATGTGGAAGCATGCACAGGTAGCTGCAGCACTTACAGGAGTGAGGCTGGTTTCCAGTTAGCACAGTTCCAGACGGCATTCACTGAAGTCACTCCGGAGTTACACAAGAAAAAAAAAAAAAAAAAGAGTGAATTTAGACCCAGCTGTACACAAGGGGATGCCTGCAACACACCCTCCCAAAAGCAGTAAAGTCCCTGCAGAACAAAATGGTAGGCTTATGTAGCATTGGATATGTGGAAGCTAAGAGAATCAGGCCTTGTGGTATGGATTCCTCCATTCCCTTGACTAACGGTGAGATTTTTGAAGAGGCTGCATCTTCTTGGATGAATATAGAGAACAGCACTGAAACAACGACAACCCTGGAGAAAGTAATTCTGAGTTTGTCGGAACACAAAAACCTCTCCACGTTTGAAAATAAACAGTGGGACTACTGCCATGAAAAAGGTGAGAAAAATAAAAAGTCCGTGACAGCCTTTAACATGCATAAACGATATAAACCCCCAAATGCCCAGATTTGAATCCATGCTGTCCCTCCCCCGCTGCCCTGTTCTCCCACGTGCCTGTGCAGCTGGGGTATTTCCCTTTCCAAGAGGCCTAAGCAGGACCCTACGCAGTTTCCAGGAAGCTGGCAGTTAGTGTGACCCTCTCCTAATACAAAACAGGTGACACACAGCACTAAGCCATGCCAGGACAGACTGCAGGGTTTCATAAAGCAGGTACTGGGCTGTGAGTCTTTGCCCCAGTAAGAGAGGGCTTTTTAAGACCTGGCTACAACGTGCTAATTTGAGAACTGCAAACTATTTCACTCCACTATTCCTTACCAGGTGAACTGTTTGCTTACTGAAACCGGGTCTGTGCTCTATGCTAATGCAATGCCAGCAGTCAGGCTATGCTGATGTGGAACTCAGAATAGCACACTGCAGCTGCACCACTGCCTGGTAGGAGGCTCCAGATCAGTGTGCGAGGAAGGCAGGCAGGAGGGGTGCTGCACCCTCCTGACCTCATAATCAGTAACAGTAACTCTTAGATCTCCCCCCTCCCCAATTCTTATGCAAAAATTTAGAAGTAGGCAGGAAAAAAAAAAGCACAAAGCAGGAGACAGAAGGACTGCAAAGCCTCACAGAAGCGCACAAAGCGCAAAACGTCTCCTCTGCCAGTTCAAAAAACTCTCCCCAGCTACTTGCAGTAGGCAGGAGTGCACGAGCGGGGACACAGAGCTCCCCTCCTACTGAGCTCGCAACTAAAGCCCTCCCCCGGTTCCCAGGGTCTTCAAATGAAGATTTGCATAGTACTTCCAGATCATTC